TCTATTCCTTCCCTAGGAGAAAAAATTAAATTTAAGTGATTTCCTCGTTTGATAAATGTTTAATTTGAAGAGTTCAAATAAAAAGAATGATTCTGGAATAATTATGTATTTCTCTTGCTAGTATGTTTCATATCTCCAAATCATCCAATTTAATAAATTATTTATCAACTATCTCATGTGTGTATTTCCAATTATTTATTAATACAACTCAATACGGTTAACTTAATACAACTTGATTGAATTCATAATCAATTGAGAATGAATTTATAATCAGTCGTTAGCTCTGCGGTTTTATTGCAATTTTTCAGCTTGGAAATTGTGATTTTAGAATTGTTATCTTTGTATTTTTTGTGGGATTTCATGGCAAAGAGGTAAAGAATGCGAGTATTACTATTACACTTTATATTCTAAAAGTAATTGTTCTCATGAACTTCTTTTCTTGAGGCCATTTCATTTGATCTAAACAAAAAAAATTAAATCTCTTTTTTAACCACATCAGCAGAATCAATATAATCTAAACTAGTGTGACACATAATTCTACATAGTTAACTTCCACTCCTGCCCCTCTGCATAATTGCCATCAATTAGAACTGCTCATTGTCTGAGATTTGCCCCCGAAAACCATCAGTCGCAGTTCCAGCTCTTGACCGGCTAAAGTGCACTTCAGCGAGAGTGAGATTTTAATTAAAATAAATGACGTCTCGCAGTGTAAATTTTCATTTAGAGAGCGAGAAGCACGAAAAAATGCCGGAGGATTTTCGGGTGGCGAGAAAGAAAAGCCCATGCCATATGCCATCATATGACTGTTCGGAGCGATAAGTAAGTTAAGTTGGTTAAACAATTCCAAAAGGAAGAGTGAATTAAGTTCAATTTGAGTCAATCACGGCATTCACTGGGTTTATGTGGTGTTCTGCAAGTGACGACGACTCGGAAAGTTAATTTATGACTCTTAAATGTTGGACTCTTCATCGCGAGAGAAAATGTCTCAATGAATTCTTGTGAGAGACTGGCACTCAACACCATTTATGTTTGCCTCCTCCGTATCTCTTTTAATTAGAACTTGGCACTATTGTGTAATAATTTTTATTAACTTCCCCATTTTAATATATTATCTCCGTCTTCTTTGCATGCCATACAATTTTCTTGCGCTGTGTGCTGATGATATTGTCGGCTCAATGGGATGGGCTTTAATGAAGCCCATGAGGTGTCGATCGCTTTCAACAGTCCACGGCGAGATCATTTGTCAAAAATACTTTTCACCCTTTTTTCCCTGCGTCGGCCGCATAGGCAGTAGCTGAAAATTGGAAATTAGAATCTCTTTGATTCTCAGCAGTTGCTCCTGTTGATTGATTGATTCAAGGGGTTACGGTGCTTTAAACACATAATTCTCAATTAATGGTGCTTCATTTTTTCGGGTTCACTTTGACGGGAAAACACTGATTCTGCGCCATTCATGGAAGTTGAGCACAAAAAGTGCGCCTCTCAATGGATTAATTACTGATTTGTGCTGGATCGACTGGTTGAATTTTTTGATAAATCGTCGCTTCCACAAACAAAGGTCGTACATATGCATTTTGGTAATTTTCTGATTTTTACATATTGATGGAATATGTTGAATTTACCTTGTTTTTTTTATTCATCCTATCAATTCAATACTTTGTGATAAAATTGTCATTAATAAAATTATTTGAAAATTGTTGTTGTTTTTAGTAATCACTGATTGAAATTAGAGTAATGCTTATTTGCATTTGATTGAGAATAAAAAACAGTCGAATGTATTTTTGTTTAATTCTTTTTGCATTGCTGTTACGATGGTTGTTTAATGAGAAATGTTGGAGGCAAAAATAAACTTTCGCGCGCATGAATCATATTTTATTCCTATGTTCACACAATTTTAATAGTTTGTTTTGTCCAAAATACCTCTGCCGAGGTCAAATTCGTCTCCTATAAATCATAGTCAAAACCGACGAAATTTCACTACAAAGCGAAGCAATCGTTATGCAACTTCATGCAAAGAAATGTGTCACTGCATTGGCAAATTAACGCTCATTGTGTTTTTCTTGAGTGACAATAATTTCACGAGGCGAGAGCGAAGTCTAGCTCTAATTATAGTCATTTAGGGTCCTCATGATTCCACCCATAACTTTTGTCGCCCTAAAACTTGCCTGAGCGCGCCTCGTGAAGAAGTGATTCGGAAATTTGCAACCATCTGATGTTCGCCACGCGTTGAAATACTAAACCAATAATTTACTTTTCTCTTTATGTGATCAAGAGACTCTACGAGCATTAGTTTGGTGACCCTAATTTGATCCTCTCAAAAAAAAACAGCGCACGAACGGTTGTAACTTCACATTCACGGTCGCGTCTTTGGCTGAAATTAGCATGGAAAATTATTTAATTCTGTTAATGGGAAATTTGCTTCCTCCTCGAGTGGGTTTTGACCATCTGACAAGCCACAGTGCCCGAAAAAACAGCAAAACATCTTGAGGGTTGTGTGATTTCTAAGGGCAAAATACCTCGATGAAACACCTTTCCACGCTATTGCCTATTTTTTTGCTTCTTCGCATGGCAAATCTCTCGTGTGGATTTGTGTTACTTGGCGGGACAAACGTTGCGAGTGTGTTTCTTAAGAATTGCGCTGTCGTGTAACAAGAGAAGTCCCGGAAATCTTAAAAAAGCACCGGCCACACCTCTCAAATGAATATAAAACACTCAATCGCGCAGACAATGAGTCCCTCGTGCAGCGAAACCGGGACACGATATTTGAGAGTGAAGGGGTTCATCATTCCATTTGAGGACAATGCGAATCTATCGTTCAGTCGAGGGGCGAGCAACTGCTCTTGTAAATTGTATACAGAGAAACTATTCTCAAATCCCCATTCAGACTGTGAAATTGTGTCCACGTTACGAGGAAATTGATTGTGATCCATTTCACAATAAATGCGCCCAAACAGTGGGTCCACTAAATTAACAGAATTAAAATGAATAAATGCTTTTGATGCTTCAATTACATCTCACATGCCTAAATGGGGGATCTGAGAATATTCTCCTCTCCATCTTCAACCTCACAGGGTGCCCCTGGCGCTCGCCTTCGCCTCGCAGACGCTTCTAGATGCAGACGCTTTAGATGACACTTTCAGACACATCCTCTGGTGTGACGCGGACAGCACAATGTGTCTGCTAATTTGATAACATGCCCAGCAATTTGTTTGACCCCGGAGAAAACATTTGACCTCTGGCTGGGAAACAAACAGAGACCCACCAAATTAATTAAGACGAATGAAGTGCCGGCAGATGGACTCTTTCTCCCTCTGACGGACTCTTATGCGCTTGGAAATCATTTCCCATAAATATCAATTTTTATTTGGGTCGACAAGTGAACAACACACGGTAGGAGATGAGGAACGTCATGCTGATATTCTGGGATGGGTCTCAGTTGCAACAATGGATTTAGGGCACTTTTATTGACACGGCGAGGGCAATGAATGGCCGTGTTTTCACTGCTGATGTGCATTAGTTTGTATACACAAGCCGGATTAGTCATTGAGGACCCTTCGAGGCTTTCATTCATAGTCTAATGGAGCCACACGGTGGTCCGATCGAGGTGTCATTCAGACTGCAATGCATTGCTTGGGAACGCAAATGAGATTCATCTTTCTACACATTTCCAGAAGGAACAGATCAGAAGATGAGAACATTCAGATGAGACGTCAATAACTTAACCCAATCGACCGTTAATCGACAAACTTGCAAATATTGAAGTGTTTCTAAAAATACACCAAAGTTTAATTCATACCTGAGACACTTGGAACAGCGCATAATGTGCAATTTGTAATCCGCAAATGCTCTCAGTTTCGCATCAAATGACATGTCTGAAAGTTATTAGAGCCCATGGGTGAAATTGGTGCCAATAGAGGCGTTCTTTTCTCAGGCCATAAAGTAAGATTGGCGAGATAGTTTTGCCGGGAGATTGATTTGAGAGCTGCGCGGAATCTCGGAGGTGGAAGACCTCTGTGATAAATGTGCAAAATCCCACATTGGACAATCACAAACCACGCCAGAATAAAAACACATCCTCAAGAGCATTCGTTCATGAAGAATTCACTGCACAGGGTGAGTCATGATGTGGAAGATTGCGGTTGCGTGCACAATTGGTTGACTTGGGGCAGAATTGGGGACATTCGCGCGATGTCCCTGTGGAAGCCAAATGTCTCGGATGCCCTCGAAGCTGTTGATGAAATTGCCGACGACCTATTGTCTCAGCGATGTGGCGGTCTCTTTACGGTGGCATTCCGAAATTTTTGTCATTTCTTCTCCGCTTTTTTGCGCGCGCGTTCTCCCTCTGATTGTTCACCCTAGAAGAAGAGGCATCGCAGAACTTGCTACCGCTCTTGTTACAAGTAAACATGACTCGCGAGATTGTTCGCTTGTGTATGCCAACAATTTATTCTTCCACTGCATCCCAAAAACATCCATATTCATGCGCCCAGAGATCATCATTATCACGAGGCCATTTCCACACATGCGTTTACAGTTAATCAAGTGATATTTCGGACTTCTTTCAGCCAACCTAACTTCAAAAGTACCCTAACTCTGAGTGTGGTCGTAGTAGAACATCTTGGGCTGTTGCGAGAAAGAGCAGATGTATTATGAGATGAATTAATAATAAGTCGGGAGGCGCCAAAGAACTCTTTGCGCCAGTAAAAGGAAGCGATTGCAATGTCTCACTTTGAGGGATATTTAGAGGGTGTTTCGAGAGGGGATTGAGAGCCATTATGTCGAGGGAAGGGCCTTACAAAAGGCATCTGTACACTTCTTTTGTCTGCTGCGGTGAAAATGAGAGGGTTAACTTTAAAAGAAACTGTATCAGCTTCCGCTCTAGTCTCAAAATACTCAACACAACTTACCTTTTCAACTCCAAGCACTTAAAATGCACAATAAAAAAAAGTTTAAAAACAGAAGGAAATAAAAGGAGTGAAATTTTGAAAAAAAATCATGGATTTTGTAGTAATAATACATATTTAATACCTTTTTCATCATTTTTTACATTCATTTCTTCTTCTATCTGAAACAAACAATATGCCTTAAAATCTATACAGAAAATGTTGGTTTCAATGTTTTTTCCTTTTTATTTTCACCTATTTCTCATACTCGCTATTTTTATGTTTTATGTAACTGAATCACATTGCAATTTACATTTCATTTTCATCATTATACTTTTCGATATGAGAACAAATACTGACAGAAAGAATGATTAATTTTTTCAATTTTGGAACAGGTTTTTTGTTTTAGGAAAATGTACACATAGCATTTTTGTCTGTCCATCAATAAGAATAGCTTAGCACGCACTTTCATTTAAAAACTAAAATCAATATCTATGTCTTAAGTCTAGTTTAGAAATTATTTAAATTTTGCATACTCTATCATTCCGGCTCATGTAAATTGTAATTTCATTCTCATTACAAGCTAATATATTACAGTAAGAAATACAAATACTTGGACAAATCATATCCTTAATTTGTTTACACTTTCGCATTTATTTTGTCATTCAGGATGAAAATTTCTGGCTCACAATATTTCAGATTGTGTTCTTTTCTGTTGTTATCTAAGAAATATTTTATCACAGCCAGAGATTTTTCATGATTTTTTTTTTTGAATTTCTCGTTCTCAAAAATCTATTTTTGAATTTAATTGCTTCACTCAGAACAAAATAAACAAAAATTGTAGCCAAAGAAAAGTTTGTCTTTTTAAATATTTTACTTTTTACCTATAAAATTTCCTCACTTTATATTGCACAGAGCAGATTTCAGTAATTAGTCTAGAAAAATCATAATCAATATCTCTATAAAATCCGGAATTCCTTTCTCATCATTATACATTTTGCAAAAAAGAAAATTATATGGAAATGAGATCTAACTAAAAGAGATTATACTTGTTTATATCCGTTTAAATATGTTACAAATTTCTTTCCTATAAATCTTCCATGTTAGAGATTTAAGTTAAGCTCTCTCTCAATGATTTTATTAAAACCATTTTTTTAATAATATACTCAGTAAATTCATTTATTAAAAAAAACTGCATTTGCCAGAGGTCAAAAATTTACATGTCCAGCATTTTAACAAAAGATTTATTTATATTTAGAGGAATCCATTCCGTCTTTCAATGTTTTTTCTTTCTTTTACTCCCCATAAAATGTTCACTTTTTTCACTATGTAAAATTATTTTATATATATCTAAAGTGCTTTAATTATGTCACTGTTGTGTGTTAAACGGCAGGCCATACTCTGCAATTAAACAAACAAGACGAACGGTCAAGCATAATTTGAGAAAGAAGTAGCTTCGGTGGTAGAAAATTAAAAAAAAAATCAATCCTTGGACATTGAAATGAAAAGCTAGAGTGGAAATTTGGAGAGATTTTCGTGATGAAAAACCCGATTTCACGCGATTTTCTCACAAAACGCGAACATTAAACGGCCTTTAATCGTTACAAAATTTGATATCGTGATCCAAATGTAGTACTAATTTCAACAAAATATCGCTTATAATCATTTTAGTAGATTTTTGCAATAAAAGAAACTCTTTTATGCACTGAAGGCGTGAAAATGAGGCACTTTAGATTGTCTGTCGAACATGTTCTTCGATTAAATTTTCAATCATCAACCTTTTTTCGTCCAGATACCATCGCGAAACTTTTTCAAACATGCAACAAGAAAGTATAACTCACAATTCACGGATGAATTGCAAGCCCAGAAACCATGTGAAGATATTGTGCAAGATATATTAAAAAAATTGACTCAATGTGAGGAAGTTCCATGCAAAATCTCTCCAATTTGCCACCCTTAAAGACAGATTCGACTTCTGTCACACAGTAAAGCTTCGAAAAGGTAGTAAATCGTCAATCACCTATTTATGTGTATGTTGTCATAAATCGTTCGTAGCTATAAAGAGATACAAAGAAACTTTTATTATGATTGTGAAACATTTTGGCGTGCAATTAAAGTCTCTAGAGAGTCACTATTCCAGGTGTGATCCCACATATTTTATAACTCATTATCGACTAACTGAATATACATTAGAGTGTTATGAGCACTCTTACTATCAATTGAGCATAAAACATTATCCAACACCCAATAAACATATGCCAATTGCAAATTGTGTGTTTTTAAGATAACTCTTTTTGCCATAATTACCAACTAATGTTGCCACGAAAATAAAAAACGACTAAACAGGGAAATGAAATACAATGTGAGGCAATCGATAATGAGGGTAACTCTCTTTTTTATAATTGTTCTTAACTTTCACGAAAATTGACAGATGGAAAAAGGTCATTTTCGGCACTTGCAATGTCCAAGGAGACGCTTTTGGGTAGGGTCGGCATCGCGAGACTTGACCTAACATTGTTTTCACAAATTATACAATATTCAGAAAAGAAATAACACATATAAAAATGAAATTGCTCATCGCCATCACAGGGTTTATAGGTTATTAAAAAAAAGATAATTAATAAGATAAGTCAAAATTCTCCTGTAAACTCTGAAAAACTCCCAATTGACATTACATATTTTTCTGCATTTCATTATTACATATTTAAAAAATCAATTAGGCCTAAACGGAAATTCAAATCGAGCAAACCGGTTGTAATTGTCAGTTGATTCCTATTGCCTAGTGGCAATTTGTGGATGAATCAATTTAATCTCGCCTTCCACATGAGTGTTATTTCTTTTCTCGCAAATGTGATGTGATTTCCATCGGTTGGCATTTGAAATACAACATTTTTGTATGGTCCTCAAACTGTTCGGGATTCTAAAGTCCTCAAGATGTCGACCCAGTATCAATGCCAAGTGCGATGGCGGGTGATGCAAATGGTACTTACGTTAGTAATGACGGATTTGTTTCTGGCTGATACCAATACTGCGGCGCGTAACCACTCATCTGGGGTGCGTGTATCGCTTGAGGGGGTGCGTGAGGTGGCTGTGTTGTCATTTGGGGCTGCTTGTGGTCGCCCCAATGAGGTGGTTCCTGTTTCCACGGCACCTGAGCTGGCGGACTCAGACCTGAACAGAGGGATTCGACATTAGCACCTTGTCTTACGCAAAGGCGCGCAATTAAAATTTCACGAGTGCGGGGCATAATGAGGTGTGTATTGTGATTAATTGAGCCAATTGATTGTACCAGGGGCACGAGTTGGAAAAAACCGATGGGAGGATTGCGAAAAGTGCGCCGTTTCACTTTCGGCTATCGAGAACGGATTGGACTAGTTAGAATGGGACTGCTTGGGGGGCGTACCTGGTGAAAGCTCAGATACCGGTGTACTCGATGGTGTTGGACTGTGTCCAGGAGGTAGGAAATGTGGAGGTGAGCCGCTACTCGAGCCGTTTCCTCCACCTGCTGAAACAATTAAATCGCCTTGTTATTCCACATTTAATATTTTAGCCCGATAAATATGCCATAGTATTCAGTAATTGTTTCTAATCGCTCGAATTTGGATAGCAAAAGACCTGTAATTGCCACGCACTTTGCATGGCGCGACTCAACGGTATGCACTGTGTTTGTGTACAAAAGAGATCATGTGATTTTTTTCTCTTTTAAAATTCAAAAGCACTTTGGATAGGAAGAGAAGTCTTCCTATCGCATCATCGCAACCTCATTCAGCAAGAAAAAATGCGATGTGTCTTGTTGAAAAACTTGCAATTTGCTCTTCTCGCCGTCATGTAAGGTCAAAAGAGGTGCAAGAAAAAGAGACCTTCTCGCTGGTTTCATAACATCATTAATGTAAATTCAATGCATTGAAGTCACCTCATCACGTTGAGAGTGCTCTACATTAGATCTGAGAGAGACAAATCCGGATCGATTCATTGACTTTGCAAGAATTCTGCGCGGCAGCTTAAGGTCTTTTGCCTATCTGGAATATATTGTGAGACGGGATGCACATACCCTGATGTTGCGGACTATGAGAGCCTGGATTGGGAGCTCCTAGAGGCAGGCCGCTGCCGACTCCTGGCGCCTGGGCCGCCTTCATCATCTTCTTGTACTTGGAGCGCCTGTTTTGAAACCAAATTTTCACCTGAAAAGGACAGAAAGAGAGGAGGTCAATGCATGGCTGAAAAGCTGTGTCTTGAATTCTCGCCAGCGCCACTATTTTGTCTCGGCAAGAAAAATCAACCCAACACCGAGAGGCAGAAAATGATTAATTGTTACAAGGTCCCTCATTCGCGACTCTCATGTGGATATCAGCACATTAATCTCTTGCCATGTGTTACCAACACAGTGAAAAGAGTTGCTTTTTGCTTCTTGGACACGCTTTTCCATGGCTTTTTCACTCTTTTGCCAACACTCCATCTCTGGCGAAACTTATCAATCTTACACTCGCACCGCGAGGCTCCAAAATGGACGAAAGACAAATCTATCATCATTATACATTCATTCTTATTCCCATGGAAGAAAGTCCACGGCGAACATGAAGAAAATTGTCATGCATCGCGAAAGACGTGAAAAAAAATTCTGTTTGTCATTTGACTTCCTCTCCAATTTGAGTAGTGGACAATTGTTCTGCTGAGCATCTCTCCGGCCTTTCCATCAATTGACTCTTGTGGCATGGCTTATGGGAACCCCCGACGCAAATGGCATTCCGATATGTTGGCGTTACGCAAGACCTACCAAGCGAAAAATATGCTCCGCTGGTAAATATTAACCAATATTTCATCTATTGCCACTGAGGAATTAATGTAATGAAATATAAAAAATTGTGGAGACGCGAACATGGGAACGTAGGAGAATACTCAGGAAAAAACTGTGATGACCAATAAGGATATATGAGGCAAACTAAGGAGTGAAGAATGCGAATAAGTATCGTGTGTGCCTGAAGCTATAGAATTAGACGCAATACACAATTAAAACAAGTCGTAAAATATTATATTCTTCACAGCGAAAGTCTAATAGTTACAGATCAATCAAGGTTTTTTTTTCTCTTTTGGCTGGCTTTTGACTGTAATGACACTATGTTAAAATGTTATTCTTTATTTACGGAAGTATTCTCTATGTATTTCTCCGTTAGAGTTGAGGAGATTTTAAGGACGAAACAATGCATCGCAATGATATATCGATGCCAGATTGACAGCATTGGCCAAAGTTGAAGATAATTAACCCTCTTCAGTCATTAGTTTCTCCCTATTTAGTGAATTTCCCTCTCTGGCAAGTACTCAATGGACTCTTCCACATCATACCATCAAGTTGCTGACGAGACACGAAGAATTTCTTTTGCGTGAAGGGAAAACTGTAGCGAAATTAGTAGCAATCTATGTTTACCAGTGTTTGAGATATTCCATGGGCAATAAAAGTCAAATTGTTGATTGATACAGAATGTTTGTGGTCTCATCACCTCTGAAGAAAAAATACAACGTAGTAAAACATTTCCATCCACTGACAATAAAACATCCAGCACGCACGTTTTTTCGTATATGGGAGAGGCTCGTAAGACGGTGTGTGAAGGGGTCTTTCCGTGAATTGGATCTGATTAAAATGCACAGCATCACCTGTATTACTCTTTTGTCAAGGTAATTGAAGCACAAACGCAATGTAAAATATTAATAATTAATATTCCTCTCTGTTTTTTTCTTCTCCTCTATGCATTTTCTCGCCTTCTTGCCATAGGAGAAGTCAATGTGCACGCCTTTTCCCAGCGACAAACGTCTCTACAATATATCGATACTAATGCCTGTGCTTTGGGTGTGAAAGAAACGGGCATCGCAAAGGAAAATGTAAAAGAAGAGTAAAAAAAAAGGCACTGGTAGTCGCGTAACAATAAAATTGCGTAATAAATTGCAACAGCGGGAAGTGAACGCATAAAGCAAGAAACAATCGCTTCTTAGCACAATCAACAAATGGCCAAATGGGTATAATCTCAAAACGGGAAAGAGATAGAGAGGAGAGTGGAAAATGTAATGCGAAAAAATGGAATTTTTCTTTATCAAGGACAACATGGAGTGGAAAAACGGTGAGCAAGCCAATTAAGAGATGCAACAACAAAACGCACGTGGAAGTGATCCTCTCACAAATCCACTCGACACCTTCTGTCGTTTGTGGCTTTTCCAAGAAAGTCACGCAGCTGTAGCATGACTTTCGGGGATTTTCCTCTGGGAGACACTTTTTTCCCGATAACTCCAAGATCGCGATCACAGATCAGCGTCAGAGATTGCGCGAGATGCGATCGTCATTGATTAGATTTAAACAATTGCCGTGCTGAATCTTCCCACGGATCGATGAGAATGCATGTCTTTGAGAAATACATCTCATATCATTTGCATGAGGATCGATGGAAGATCACTCGCTTGTAAGAATATCATTAGAATTTTTTTGCAATAATTTATGAGCGGTTTTCTTTGCGATCTCTGTCGATGAAAACAGCAAATCTTTCACCCTGAATGATCACCACGTGTGCAATTTCATAGTGAAATTCATATTACTGTCGATGGTAATCAAACTACAAAAGTATATCTCGGCTAATTACAATAATTCAATAGAATAGTGTATATTGTAATGATTATCGATAGAAATTGATTTTTACACGCTTTTAAACTTCCCGACACGATTCCAAACTAAATTTTCATAATAGCCACTGTGAGGTGAAGAAATATGACAAAAGTTTCCATTATCCAATAGCAACACTCTTTTAATGATATACAATTAAGAGTGAGACGAGTGAAGTAATTACGCTTCCCTTCCACGTGGACGCCAACCCGTTTTGTCCTGCGACGAGACACTCTTCTCGTGATTCTATATTATTCATTAGACCGCGCGGGAAACACTTTGGCATGATGTTCAGGCGGGAAAAATATGATCACATGTCCATTTCCCAAATTTCTCACTGATAAATTGAACTCTGGGTGATAAATATTGCATGGAGGATGGAACAGACCAATTAATATTCTCGGTGTTCCATTGAAAAGTTATTTCCACGAAAATCACTCACTGAAGTGTGCCAAAAGTGCTGGAGAGAATTGAAATTGCATTTTCTTCTATTCAATGTCTTTCCCTAGACTGAAACTTTAATATTTTCATGCTGAAAGAATTACATTTATTTTGCAGTAAAAGATAATTCTATTTGGTGAATTACAGCATTTTCTTCAAATATACGAATAGAAAGCAAGAAGCACAGAATTTTGAGAAAAATATCCATATATGCCGTGTGGAGATTTTCAAAATATCCCCAAAGTTTGGAAATTGCAGAAGAATCATGAAAAAATAAAATTTTTATTAGAAATCTGTCTAAGAAGTTTCTTTTTTCGAATCATTCTGTTCCATAATTAATTCTATTTGATGTAATAAATAAAGTAATACAGACTTAGAAACATTCCTAGGCTAAAATTGTTACATTATGTATCTAGATACAATATGAAAGAAATGAGTATTTAATGCTTGAATGTTGTGATATTTTCCAAAGTTTCACAGCTGTTGAGAAACAAGTGAAGACAACACGTGCGTTGGGCGGGGCATTTGGAAGGGCGGGGCGGTCGAGAATTCCGTTTTGCTCTACTTTCCAAGACTTCGCGGGACAGAGGGAGAAACAGAGTATGTTCTGTGATGCCGGAACATAATTCTAACTAATCCTCAATTTTCTCAATGACTCGCCCCTCGCCTTTGCGTGTGATGTTTTTGTATTTGCCGTCCATGCACATAAATGTGCATCTGTAAGTGTTCGAGAGGTGAATATAAGAAGAGATTGCATTTCTGGTCCGAAGCGGGGAGTTTTGAAAATACCTTAAATACCTTGGGACTCATTCAGCGGTGCCGATCCGTGGCGATCGGTGGCAAAACACACATGAGAAAAGAGATGTGGACTGGCTGGACGTGACAAGAGGGCCCAAGAGAGCACCGGCGGAGGCGATCCGCTCGCCTTGTCACTCACCGGCCTCCGGTGTGTTGTGTGGCTCGCATAAGCAATGCGAGGGACCTTGGGCGCATCTTCTGGATGCCAACTGGTACGGCACTGCGGCCAGGGGAGCATCACAAAATTCCGATAGGGCATAGTTCGGCTGAGATAAAACGCCGTGCACATGGCCAACAATTGAACCGCGAGTACGCAATGGCAGAGATTCGCCCCCTTTGGCCGCGTGTCCCCATCGGTCGTCTGGTGGCCAAGAGGGAAAAATGCCTCCGCGGCTGCACATCAAAAGAATACAGGATTTCATTGTGATTTTCACGCTTTCGCATTGTCATATAACCATTTTTGCTTCACTCGTCGAGCTCTGATCTCTTTTTCACCCTCAATGTCACTCAAAAATCAAGATCCGACGATATTTAAATGCCAACCACGGGGTCAAATGACACGCTCTTTCTCCGCAAGGACTTCGCCAGGACTCTCGCAGTTTTCTATCAATCAATGGCTCAGAGAGTGACTCTGATGGTTTTCAGCAACACCGGATGCGACTTTGCATGCTATGGGAATTCACCTCGAATTTCCCCTTATCCTCTTCTTTTCCATCGTTCACGTGGGGAACAATTATGTGGGTATCCAAAGTCTCTTTTTGTAGCCATCACAGCAATTGTATAGAAAATCTATGGTGAATGTTATTTTTTACAAGTCTTCTGTTCACCTAGACAAATTATTAAATAATATAAAAATACTGTCACAGTTTAGTGCTTCGAGTAAAAATGAATTATCCGATTTAGAATCCGAAATAATTGTCCTCAAAGTAAAATAAGGTTTTTTGTCACACCATTCTTCAACATTGTGTATTATATTTTGTGGTGTTTTCCCGCGATAGAGATTTTGGAAGGTAGGCTTTGGGTTTTGGGCATGTGGACGCGCGGTGTGTTTTTTCTCCTCTTCCATTGGCATTGTTCTTTGTTGGCGTCTTTTTGCTTGCAACTGTTGATTTTTATATGATGTTGAAAATCACTCAATTGAACGGAATATTTCGGAGACAATTTTTACAATCCCTTTTGCACTACAGCGCAACTTCTTGACTCTCATGTTTTCGCTTGAAATGTTTCCTAATTTATGGATTTTCTCCACCCTTTTATTACCATAAGAGATTCATCCATAACATTAGGCGCTGTGCACAC